AGGGTTATCAATAAACACTACGATCGTGGCGTTAAAGAAATCATCTCTAAGCCCACCAGGAGGTTTCCACATAAAAGGGTCAGCTCTATAAATCCTTCGATCACCTGCAACAGGGGGAATAAAACCCTGAATACTCGATTGTACTCGGCAAGACTTACCCGATAGGAGGAAATTAAAAGACTCCAAAGATATGCAAGGCTTATTTGGCTTGTGGGTTATTGCAGCTGCACGAAGCATTATTAAACATGTGTCCTTATATTCAATTTTTATTAGCAGTCATCATTAGTTCATTAACTAACTATTCTATGTAAGCACCTATGCTACTTTCAAGCAGGTGGTAAACATTCAGAATCATTTTATTACCTTTCAAGTTCCAGTTTTTACTATGGTGCTAGACCATAACCAAGTCGTATTGTCTCACAGAAACAGCGATTCGTGAATCAATGTATCCCAGCTGAGTACCCCAAAACACACGCCCCGTTTGTAACCTAGGCACAAACAAGACCAACCCAATCCACTCCTGTCACGGGGTCCAGGTCCCCGTTCAAACTTGGACTCCAAGCCCCCACACTTGAGACCCGGTCTCTATGTGGTGCTTAGACCTCCACCTTCCCGCCTCCAATCGGTCGGTCCAAAAGAGCACGGACCCACGACAAGAGTGCAATGAGCCTTCCCGCTCCCATAAGCAAGAATGTGCTCACGATAATAAGTCAGTGACTTGACTACCATCCACAAAGAACAGACGGTCCTTAATCGACACAAAGGAACAAGTGCAATCCGAGCCTCGCTTTCGAATGCCTAACCAAGACCAGATCCAAAGTTCCATTCTCGTCCGGTCTCCAATTATCATCCATATATATTCCATATGATAATAATATAGTAACAATAATATATTTCCTATCTCTCGCGAGTGACAGATAATCACTCGACTTCTACCGGATCCTATAGCATAGCAATCTACATGATCCTGACATACTAGTAGGACTTATAGGATAAGGATATATATATGCAAGTGGTTTTCATTCAACTCCTTAAAACTTAAAGCACAAGCATAAAATAAAGTGCAGAATAATAAGGGTTATGCACCGGGGCTTGCCTGGGTAAGACATAGCCAAAAGTTAGCATTCCTTCATGGTGACATGATCATCAAGGCACCATCTTTTCCTCTACTTCGGTCATCTCCACGATCCATCGTTGTTCCTATTATGATATACGTGGATGCAACGCAGAGACGCAATTAATCAATAGTAACTGCAACTCTATAATATGATTACACTCCGCAAGCTTAACGAGCTAGATTTTATGACTAACGTACTAGTCTACATATCCAAGACGTCAAGTAAGGCTTTGTCTCCGGAACAATATTTTAGTTTTAAAATCCCAAGATGTTTCAGCATTTTATTGCTTAAACATATATTTTTGAACTATGGCTCATTTAGTCACCTTAGCAAACTAATTATTATGGAGCTACAAAATTACAAAGAACACCAAATAATGTTAGGAATTTACCGAAAGTTTGAGAGCCAACACTATCACCAATTTATCACAACAATTCCTACAAGTTTATATTTTGACAATATTAAGTATCTCAAATTAATTATATAACTACTAATAATATTATAAAACCATGTGAACAAAATATACTAGCAGATAGATCATGATTTTAGAAACCGAACAAAATTGGTCTCACAATTTTTGGTTAACTACATAATTTTATACTGAATTTACAAGTTTACCTTAGAAACTAAATTAGAAAATGCATTAGAAAAGAAAAGGCCATCAACAACCCTCTCAGGCCCGGTAGCCCAGTACATGGCGCGGGTCACAAGACGTATGCCAATAAAAAAAAAGCCCAAGGCGGCGCCATGCCACATACGGGCAGCTTTGCGTAAAAAGCCCTGTGCTTTTAGATAATAACATGACTACTATGCGTTTATTCCTACCGTCAAGAACTTTGCAACCACACCCTTGGATGTTTTCGATTTACCATGGGAGGTCCCTAGGATCCTCAGCGTGCGCCCGCAAGACGGCGGCCGACGACATAAGTAGTTCTTACGGGGCAACCTAGGCGTTCTACAACGGAAGGGGCCAACCACCATCTACAAAGCCTAAACGCGCAAGGATGGGTGGCGGTTAGGGACTTCGGGCGGCGACCGTCACGGGGCAGCCGGCGCGAGTGGCTATCCGTGACGGTGGCACGACTATTTCGGGCGAGCCTCACGCCCTCACGGAAAGGTAGAGATGGCGGAGGAGCATCAAGAGCTCACCGTGGTGCACACCCCTACTTGATGGTTGAAGCGAGGGAGCACGGCAACGGTCGTGCCACGTGCGGCGCATCGCGGGGCGGCGGCGGCCTGCGATGGACACCGCATGTCACCCCACCGACGATGAGTACCCTGGGCAAAATAGCACGAGCACTGGATGAAGGAAGTCAAGACGAGCTCAGGGTTACGAGCAATTGACCTACTACCACTCCTACATGCCTTACCTCCAAACCCACTAATTCGGCGGTGCCCATGATCGGCGATGACAACAAGGCCAAATTACCGGTTAGTAGGGCATGACCGAGCTTGAGGGGAAGGATACTGCTAGCCTACTTCCTAAGCTACCCGCTAGAGCGAGGAACTGAACGGCAAAGCCGCTGGCGCTAGGCAAAATGAAGGGCGGAAAAGCAGAGCTCAAGCCATGGTCAAGCCATGGAGGAGCACACGAGTGAGCACGAGGGGATTAAGACGGGCGGCTCCGATTGATAGCTGCAACACTAGCACATGCACATAGGTGGCGGGATAGTGGAGGGATTGGCGCGACGCGCTTGAAGTGGAGCGACCAAACCGAGCCGCCGCACCGCATCGGCTAAGCGGGCGGGGCAAGTGAGGTAGGAAGGCATCCCATCGCCATTGTGAGCGGGCCATCGACCGGACATGAAGCAAAGATACGCCAAGGGCATGACATGGTAGGTGATATGAGGGGGTGAGGCGGACGCCACGTCGATCGAAATACGATGCAAACCGCAACCATGGCGTAGGGCGGAAAGGCGGTAGCGGGCAAGTACCACGGCTGACCAGCCACGCCAGAAGCGATGACAGCCCAGACCCGCCAGGCCGGTCACGGTCACCAGCGCCGATAGGTCTGACGGGCTTCGGCATCGCAAGACGCTGAACGCGACCACCGCCTGACGACGCAGAGTGGTTGCGCGAGGTGACCACGCCGCATGGATCTCAAAACCCAATTTTAAACAAAGAAGGCCATCCATAGGACGCAAAAGATTCTTATTGTCGTGGTCTCCAAAGTTCCACAAGTCCCCACCCTCGAGCGCTCGCTGATCCTCACATTGTTGCAATTAGACCTAGAACCAAATACTATCCTAGAAAAGCTCATCACTACCGGTTCAAAAACCCTACCATGTCGGTTTTTAAATCGGTAAGAGCGGCGATGATGAGGGGGGGCATCACGCCAGCCTAGAAATGACATTTTTTAATACCGAGTGGTCACGCAATTTTTTTGCAAAAACGCATGCCTTGTGGGTCACCGGCGCTGGAACCCACGACGTCAAAGCCAAGCTGCGTTCGTCCTAAACGCTTCACCCATAAGACACTTGTGTTCATTTGGGATATTCATCCTTCCCATTTTATGTTCATCTGATTTTGAAATGAGTATTTGAAACCCTAAGCGAATTCAAATAAAAAGTTGTCAATTACAAAATTTTTATAACTTTTTGAGATTTACAACTTTGGTTTGGTCATTTATCCATCCGAGGTTGTTTGAAAAAATTGAATATCGAATGTGAGAAAATTTCAAATGTAATTTTCCATGGATAGATGATTTCAAACGAAAAAGTTATCAATTACAAAGCCGCATAACTTTTCGAGGTCTACAACTTTTATTTTGGTTGTTTCTCCATCCAAGGTCATTTGAAAATTCAAATTTCAAATATGAGATTTCAAACGTAATTTTCATTAGATAGATGATTTAAAATGAAAAAGTTGTCGACTACAAAGTTGCATAACTTTTCGATATCTAACACTTTTGTTTTGGTTGCTTTTTCATCCGAGATTCTTTCCTACCACTACACATTCACTTGTGATGATAAAGCATATGGGTTCCTTTGGTATTAACTCAACAAAATCTTGTGACTCAAATATTTTGGCATCAAAACGACTTCAAATAAAAAAGTTGTGAACTACAAAGTTGGATAACTTTTCCGATATCTACAACTTCTGTGTTGGTTATTTCTCCATCCGATATCTTTCCCTACAACTACACACTCATTTGTGATGCATATTTAGACATCCAAACGATCTCAAATCAAAAAAGTTTAAACTACAAAGATGTAGATCTCATCGAGTAGTAGAACTTTGGTATAAAGTTTGTCTATATCGGACATCATATGAGAATGCTATGAAATTTTTTGTGTTGTCTATTATTATCGGGTCATGTCCTGAACCAGCAGTGATAGTATCACTGCCGGTTCAAGCCAAAAACTGGCAGAGATGAACCCAATATCACGGCCGTTTGCTCCTATCACTATCAGTTTAAGCGACAAACCGGTAGTGATGGGCTAACATACACTATCACTGCCTGTTTGTAAGCAACCGACAGTGATGGGCCGGCAGTGAAGGTCAGTTCTGTAGTAGTGAAAGCCAATAGGTCCCTCGAATAAGACCTGCAAAAGAGAATTGGATCGGCAATTGTCAACAACAACTGTGTTCCTTGTTAGCCGCCTCAACAATAAGAGTGACAGAAAATTCTTGTATTTCCAAGAGTACCATATATTAAACAAGTTTTGGGTATTCCAAGGTGAATTAATTCCTAACACTCTTCACAAAAAAACACGACATGTGAGCATTCAAAGAAAAGATGTTACATTAAGTCCAGTAAGTCCATCATGAGAGCATGCCTGGCAGGTGTACCTAGGTACCAACTACCAAAGCTAACTTTCTCTAGAATTTTATCTGCCATTTGTTGCATTCATATACATCGCCTGGCCGGTGATTTTCTGCTCAGGCGCTTATGGTCCGGCCGCCGTCGACGTAGATGACTTGGCCGGTGACATAGGACGCCGCCGGCATACACAGAAACGCCACCACCGACGCGATCTCCGCCGGCTCGCCGCTCCGCTGCAGCGGAATACGCGACAAACTTTCTTTCTCCAGGATAAACGGGACCTGTGTCAACCACAAATTAACACGGTGAGAGAGTGACTGAGTTTTATGTTTGACGTCAAGTAGACGGTTAAATTCAAATAGAAACAAATGTTTTAAATAATTAATATACGAGTGTTTTTTAAATAAACGCAATTAATATGTGCTTCAGAAAACAAAGCTTGAATGCATGGATGCCGTCCATTTAACGTAGTGTATACGTACTTGTTGTTTGGCCATATCCGTGACGACAGTGCCTGGTGCGACGCAGTTCACACGAATCTTTCACCGGCCCACTCGACAGCGAGACTCCTTGTGAGCTGGTTCATCCCTCCTATATATACACGCGATTTAATACATTTTATTTAACAGCTCGCCAAGAAATCTATTTATTGTAGTCACAAGGAGCTGCTCCTATCTTTCTTGTTTTTTTATTATTTACCCTTGGTAACTGTAACTACTGTATACTCTCAATGTCCCTGTTTATTCATCGCTATAGTTTACATGCCGGTCAAATATTTTTTAGTTTGACTGGATTTATAGAAAATATTTGCAATGTTTGCATCACCAAATAAATTTATTATGAAAATAAATCCATTCATCTATCTAATGGTACTAAAAATATTGATATTTTGTATATATATTTTGTTAAGTTGATTACGTTTGACTTCTCGTGAGGTGAGGACGACAGTTAAAAAGAGAACACAGGATTATTTTTCTGCCCCTGCCGGTAGAAATACAAATACGTACAATACCTTTAGCAGCAGAGTAAATCGCCACGTTCGGGGCGCCAAGGCAGCTCGCAACGGAGGAGATGTGGACGATGCTTCCGCCGCCGGCGACGGTGGTTTTCCGGAGGAGCGGGTGCGCGAGCTGGCTGATGTGGAAGCACGACTCCAGGTTGGTGGCCATGATCCGCGCGTAGTCCTCTGCCGTGCACTCCGTCGTCGGCCTGAACACCATCTGCGCCGCGTTGTTCACCTGCCCAGCATGCAGCCAAAACCAAATTAACGTCGCGTGCATGGCAGGCCGGGGATGCTTTCTATAGTAAGGCCTCATTCAGTTCATGGACGATCGATTCGTTCGCATCCGATCCTGCGCTTACTTACAAGGATGTCGAGCTGGCTGGCGAAGACGTCCGTGACGGTGTCCATGAGCGCCTCCCTCTCGGCGTGCACGGCGACGTCGCACACGGAGACAGTGACCTGGAGGCCCTTCTCCTCCGCCCACCGCCAGCGGCACTCCTCCAGCTCTGCGGCGTTGCGGGAGCACGTGTGCACCCGCGCGCCGAACGCCGCCAGCTCCTCCACGATGGCGTGCCCGATGCCCTTGCTCCGCCGGTGACCAGCGCCGTCGCGCCGGCCAGGTTCCACCGCTTGTTGGGCATCGCTGCTGCCATCCCGGTCCTCGATCTCTAGCTATTACATACGTTGGGACTTGGGACTTGGGACTTGGGAGAGAGCCATTGCGCCTGAACGCTTATTTATATCGCTCAGGTGAACAATTAGTCAAATTATTAGCTTTAGGGTTACTTAAAATCTGGTACGTACATATATATACAAGCGAAATTTAGATATTACAAGTACTTTATGTTAAGAAGAGTCGTAGAATATTGCAAGGTAGAGTAATTTTCTGTTTTTTTTTGAAATGAAGGTAGAGTAATTGTTGATGTAGACAGTCCGTTGTGCGCGGTTCAGTTTAAGTCCGCTAGTCCACAGGGACACGTCAGCAAAGCTGCACCACGTAGACGCTACCCGGCCTACCAGCTATTGTCAGTGTCTTCGTCTTATCTGACACGAGAGCCTCTCATCTTCTGAGCCCGAAATATCGGTGTTTGGCCCACTGAGAGGAACGTAGAAATTCGACAGTAATAATATAGTAATTTCACGTGATTCAGTTAAATATCACAGAAAAACACACGAACAGGAAAGACTTCCTGTGAATGAGTAGGTATACCGGTATATTAACATGTGTTTTTTCCATTGATAGAATCTTACATTGGAACGTAGAAATTCGACAGTAATAATATAGTAATTTCACGTGATTCAGTTAAATATCACAGGAAAACACACGAACAGAAAGGACTTCCTGTGAATGAGTAGGTATACCAGTATATTAACCCGTGTTTTTTCCATTGATAGAATCTTACAGAAGATATAAATAATAAAGCTCTCTTTGAACAAAGGATTTACAAAACATAGAAATGAAAAAAAAGCATGTAGAAATGAAATGACCTAACATTTGGAATCCTATAGGATTTCAGAACAAAAGAAAGTTTGAAGATGCCTTTGGAAGCAATGTAGGCTAAACATTGGAAACAAAACATCAAGGTTAGTGTAGCACTATGAAAAAGAGAAGGAATTTTTTTTTGAAAAAAGGTGCTTTGTTGGGCCAGCCCAACTCTCCCTAACTCCATTTACACAGACCACACCTCGTACGTTCATCTCCTTCCCTTCCTCTTCCATGGCTGCTCTTCCCTAATTCCCTCTCTACAGCACCAAATCCTTGGGGAAACTAGCAAAACGGATCAAGGACAACAAGAGGAGCAAGAAGAGGTGCATCTTTATGTAGATTAAAAATGGTCCTTCTCCATTCCTTCGTGTTGCCCTAGGGTTTGTGGGTGACCAAGGTGAGTTGGATTTTGCCCTTCCCTGCACAAGTTGGGAGTTTAGGGGAGTTTGATCATGGGAATAAGTGCACTAGTGGGGAGAAAAGCTGTTTGAATGTTGTTCCTCAATTTCAGTTGAACAGCTTCTGCAGATTTTCTTGGGGAAGTAACTAGAGATACTTAGAGGTAGAAATAAGTGTTTCATGTACTAGAAAGTTGTGGAGGACCTTCATCTCTATTAGCTCGTAAAGTTCATGATTTTACCCCGAATGGTTTGAGAGATATGATTTTCTAAGTTATCTGTCATGTTCTGACCAAGTTTTGGACAGAACTGGAAGTAGGATGTTTTGAAGAACCTTAGAGGCATGATGGGACTTTACAAATCATAAGAGATTTGTAGTACTTTTCATTAGATTTCCATATTGGTAAATATCATGGCTTTTGGATAAGAAGAACTCTAGATATAGATTTTCAAAGTTAGATGTATTGTTTTCTCTGTAGAATTTTCAGTTAAGCTTTCCTCATGCATTAGGCCATCTTTCTAAACCTATCTGCAAATGTGAGTAATATGAAATTGTAGATTATGAAATGGGTTGCCATCTGGTGAAAGTTCATAGTTTTTTGAAATAATGATATGGAGATATAAAAATGTAAAAGTCTGTTGTCTCAATTCTTAGACAGTTTGTAAAGTCTGTTTTGAACAGCAGTCTAGGCCATCTAAAAGGCATGATAAAATATAATATCTTCATGAAAGTTGTATGCCTTGTTGTGTAGATTCGAAAGTGTATTTGTTTGCTATTATAGCTAATGAGAACCAAATATAGGGGTATGTTAAGTCCCCGGGAGAGAGGCTCCCAACTGACGAGACCCCTCAACCAATCCCTCTAGGATCACCTGGGGGCTCGGAGGCAATACCCATCAGTTACGCTCGCGCGTACCCTCTGGTCAAGGTCGAGGGCTCGAGCATGCCCTCAGCTTTCGCCCCGGGGCTCAACCAGGCCCCAAGCTCCTGACCAACTGCAGCCTGAGCTCGCCTCTAGCTTGACCTCAGGCCGAGTCAACGCCTGGGCCACCAACCGACCTCCCGAGCATCGGCCAACCTCCCGAGCATCAGCCAGCCTCCCGAGCGCCTAGAGCTCGGAGGGCTCAAAAACGCCATGGTGCCAGCCCAACCAACGGGCGCGAGGCACTATCTGCCGCTTCCCCGACCAGGGCACGCAGATGGCGTGACACAACAAGACAAATCGCTCCACCGGCTCCAGGGTCGTGTGGCTCGATCCTGAGCCCGCTCATCATCCCCTGGGCTATGGCGCCTTCTCCATCAAGTAAGCCTCGAGAATGTTCACCTGGTGGACACGGAACCACCCCAGACATCCCTTGACTGCCAAGGGTCAGGACTCAGCGACGTCAGGCGGCGCCCGTGCTCCCCCGACTCCATGAGAGCACCGAGGTCCATCCACACCACAGAAGCACCCTCCTAGACCCCGGTGCACGAAGACCATAGACCATAGCCCCCAAACCGCCTTGTACCCGAACCTCCTCGAGATATAACGGGAGGGTCGGCTCCCATAGAAAGTAGGGCTGGACATTCCGAGTTCGGTCAAACACAGAGCAACCAAGAGGAACAGCCAAGCGTTCCTCTCTCGGCTACAAAGAAGAGAAGGAGTGTTTACCTTACTCACTTTGGGGAAGAAACCTTAGTGTCGATGAGCTATAGGATAGCACCGAAGCGATCCCCGCCAAACCCCTTTCTCCTTCGTTGTAACCTCTCGATTTGGGTGCTCCTCAATACGAAGAACTACTCACCGCTGGACGAGAGCCTCGATAAGCGCCAACCAGGATACATCGCCGTGTCTTTCTCTCGTGTTCTTGAGTCCACCGAGCAACGAACACGCCGACAATAGCCTTAATAGATTAAATGATACAAAAGGTGAAGCAACATTGTTGCATTTGACTTGGTGCTTTGTTCATTGTTTTGCTTGTATGTCGGTTGGGGCATGGAGCGCTTTACCTACTATGTATATTTGTTGAAATGAGTTCTACCTTTGACATTATACTACTTAAGCAGATGGTAGTGCTTGGATCGCATATAGAGTGATCATCACTTCATTAGAGTCAAGAAAACGTGGCGGTTATTTGCTTTAGCTTGTTCTTTATTCTACCTCCACCTTAAAAAAATCGAGAAACCAATCCAACACTATATTACATCTCAACCATGTTATGGAATTGTCACATGCTCTATGCTCTCTATTTGAATATCTATGTTCCAACACTTTGGTTTGATGATGCTCATATTGATTCAATGGAATATGGCTTGTTGTCTACATGGAGAGATGCTCATGATGTTATGTGATTATTTATCTTTTTCTCTATGGCATTTGCATTGCATCTCATTATTTATTCATTCATTGCCATA